CCCTCTTTCCTGGAAGCCTCTCAGAAAATCTTTACTTTGTTCAGTTTTTCCATGCATCAGTGTTCCTTCCATTCGTTCAGCAGCAGGAACTGCATTTGGTGACGTGCACCCTCAAAAACCAGCCATCACGCCAAGCTTTGGAGAATTGTGCCAGTCTCTCTAGATACTCCTTCCTCACGAAGGACATGGTTATGGTCCAGTTGTACAGTCCAGCACTGGTGCTTTGGGAACAGTCACTTACTGTACTGCCAGTATTGTTTCAGTGGGACTGATGCAGCCCTGAGGCCTCCTCACTGCCAATACAATCTTCGCTTCTGTGGAAACTGCAAATTCCTGGTTTATGTTCTAAATTTTCTGCTTTTGCTTGTATATTTACATAAATTAATTTTATGGACAAAGACACTCTTTGGTCTTGAGAATGGAACAAATATATAGAAAAGTTATGTTCTCATTTGTCACGCAATGCCTATACACTATCTCCTTTACAGTTTTTGCTACATGGTTTGTGAAAGGCTTTCAAAAATAAGAATGTTTCCATACATCTGTCCTGAGTTATGCTGTGTTTTCTGTTCTTTACATCTTTGTATACTTTGTGTTAAAATCCAAATAAACACAAAGAAAACTGTCTAAAAAGATACGGAAAACCAGCAAAAAGTGTAAGATGCTAAAATAAGACCTATTTATGGAAATGGAGAAAAGATGCTGCAATAAAATTCAGAACACAGAAAGTGATTTTTGCTGTCAGAAAAAAAAAGTTAAGACTTCCACGATATGCAGATTGGCAACAACAGTGCATGGCACAAGAGATACATATATTTTTTATACCTCTGTGTACCGAGTACAGTGTTAGAATTCAGTAGTTTAAAAAGGAGTGACTGATTATCTACTTTTGTTCAGTTCCCTAAAATGATGTTGCAGTACTATATATATGTGCTGTTGGGTTATGGTAGCTCTTTCAGTATCAAAGAGAGTGAGCTTAGGTAAGATTCATAGTATATAAAGCAAGAAGAAATTGCCAAAATCCCCAACATTTTCAATTTAATTTTGTACCTGCATATAGATCAGCTATGGAAGGACACCACGCACACTTAAACCAGAATTTAAAAAGCACAGTCTGGTCCTGTGTAGGTGGTGTAAGACTTTGCGAATCTCTTACTCAAAAGACATATTCACAGAAGCTGTAGCAGCTATTTCCACAATAGTCTAAGATTCCCGGCCTCAAGTCAAAGGAAAATTTTCAAAAATGATTAAAAAAATACCTTTTTAAAGTCTCAAATTTGAACAGTAACCTTCTGGTTTAAAACCATACTCATATTGGCATTCTTCATCTTTCTTCAGAGCAGCAGAGCAACAAACTTATATAAATCCAGTGGTGGAGGCTGCACAAATCACAACCCTTTGTTTTACAAGGAATATGACTACAGGGAGATGAAAGCTCCCTCGTACAAGGCGGCACGCACCCCACAACTCAGGATGCACGCTGGGTTAAAACCGTTGCTGCTGCTCAGGTTCACCTGTCTACTGTGTTGGATGGTTTCTTTCCTTAACTAACGGTCAGTGCATGTTCCTTTTCTCAAGTCAGCTGTGACAGTGCCAGCCAACCCAACCAACACCAGTTCTAAACATAGCTGTGTTAGGAAGGGCCCTGATTATTACTACTGTGGCATGGAATTTACTCATTTAATCATGGGAGTACCTTTAGACTCAGACTGTACAATATGAACCCAAATTTAAGCAGCAATTTACATACCTCAGGTCTCCTTAATCTAAGTATTTTCTGGAAATGGCCTGACAAACTTCAAATCACAGTCACCTGCATAGTCTTGCATTTTGAAAGTTAAAAGAGATGTCTGGTTTTTGGCCTTGTCTCCTTGTTTTTGATCAGTAGCTGGAAACTGAAAGTACCACCCTTTAAGAAGCTCCAAGATATGATACAACTAAGCAGAGTATTAAAAAATTCTACTGGAAAATTCACCTGCGGATCAAAACTGTACAATCAACTTTCATAAGTCATAATGGACTAACAAGATACACAGCAGCTCGATCATTCCCAAACTGGAAAACTAAATTCAATCCTTCGGGCTTGAAACGTGAATCAGACTTTTGAGCTTTTCCCTTTTGTTAATAAATTTGCATAGAAGTTAAAATTTATAAGTGAAATGCTCTATTTGCACTTCATCTGCAATTCACTTCAGCAAATGCATCCCATTTTAAAACAAATACACAGCCATTGCATCTTCATTCAGTCTTCCATACAAAACTGTTATTCACAACCGCGTTGTTTGCTTTCTATTATACCAACCGCAGACAACACTTCAAACTGATCTTTTAATGAAATATCATAAAACAAAGAGAATGTAAATTTAGCATCACTTACCTTTATTTGCTTGTAACCTTATGTTTTGTTTAAACTTTCATCATTGTTATCAAACACCTCATTCTTCAAACATAAGCATGCTAAGTGTATTAGTACAGAGAACAGAATTACTTTGGTACTACCAACTCTATCAAAGAAAGAAGAATTCACAAGGCATGCTTAGCATCTTTGTTATACAGGTGCCACAGATTCTTAAGTATCATCATGAGTTAATGGATTTATTCTATGCTTTCTTCTCAAGAAAGAAGGTATTTAGTTCTCAGCAGAAAGTTTAGTTTTCAGAAAACCAAGGCTAGAAAGCCAAATCTGTTGTTAATTGCAGGAGCCACTTTTTTTTTAAATATAAATAAATCCTACCTTTTGATAAACCTGAATGACATGTTTCTAAAAGAAATTAAGCCAAAATAATAATTAACAAAAAGGTTTTGTACAAAATAAATTGAAAAAGCCATTTAGAGTGAAACATGCAAAAAGATCTCATTTAAAACGCACAATGAAATTACACTTCAATACATTCTGAGATTAGGCAGATGATTTAGGGTCTGAAGAGTTAAACTCTTAGCATTGCTACTTCCAAACTTAATATTTCTGGGAAATATGTCACCAGTAGTTATTATGAATTAAAATACGTACTGGTGTCAAAATACTTTAAAACTCAATCTGCAAGGTCACCAAAAAATATGTTTGGATTTTCTTCATGTATTTCAAACGGAAAGCAAAAATCAGTAACTACTATAATTAGATCTTGAGTATCTTCAGAGTTAGGTTTCTTCCTTCCTTCATAACATTAGGTCAGCCATGTTGTGCCAAAAACTACCTTAAATATTTAGCTAATCTAGTGGCAGAAGCTGTAACAATTGCCTACACCAGAACATAATTAAGTTAATAATCAAAAGGATTCTGATCCCCTATAGAGAATGCTAGAATGAATTAACAGGTTTTAAGGTATTTTAATTGTATTTAAAGAGAAGAGACGTAACTGTGTCCTTTGATGGGATTATCTACCTCCTTAGTAGTTTGTACAGCACCTAGTGTAACAGAGCCCCAACCGTGAAGAAGTCCTCCAAGTGCAAACTCAACCCTCTACAACAGCATTACTGTGTCACAACTGCACATTATTTAATCAAGTCCAGATGGAATTTAAGCTATTGTCGAACGCAGTGGGGGAAAAACTCCAAGAAAACCACACTACACTGCAAAAGTTGAAACTCAGAGGTAATGACAGAAGTTTGAATACTGCCTTTAGAACTGAGTGACACACAATGCTAAATCGTGTATCCAGCAGCCCAAGTAAAAAGCTTGCATGTTCACAGTTTGAGCATCCACATTTGGAACATCAGATGGAAAATTAAGTAAGGATATTACAAACAAAAGTAGAGAAAGAAAGATGTGCCAAAAGGATGTCTTTGATTAAGACTTCACTCGACAAAAAGCAGATGACTTAATTCTTAAAAAAAAAATTTCAAATTAATCTTTTATCGCGCTCTCTCTCTCAACAGAAAAAGAATGGGAAGTGTCAGCTGGCAGAGCGCTGCGCAGGGTAAAACATTTACCAGAGGCTAGTCTGTCACGTTTTCATTTGTCACAGAAAAAACTACTGCAATTTTAAAAGAAATTCACTCTTTACATTGAAATAAGCCAGTTGTGAAAAACTGGAGTTTGGCTTAGCATTATTTTGTAGGAATAGGAGAATATGAAGAGGATGCTGAGGAGGCAGCATGTATAGTCACAGAACAGACAGGAAGGAAATGGCTTGGTGTTGATGTGATAAAAGCCTGAAACAAAAGCAAGCAGGCCAAAATCAGAATGATACCTTTCAAAAAATTTTCATAAGGAGAGTACAAAAGCACGGAGATTATGTTAAGCCAACAATAAACAAACTCTCGCTTCTGCAAACGCAAGCTGAGTGGTCTGAAGTATGCAGTATGTGAACCAACAGGTTTTAAACAAAGAAGGAAAATAGGTGGTTTTCAATTTTAGGGTTTGTAGGAACTAATTTAAAATCATATATGGATTGAAAACTAGAAGTCCATGTAGAGTGAAAACTAGAAGTCCATGTAGAGTGAAAACTAGAAGTCCATGTAGAGTGAAAACTAGAAGTCCATGTAGAGTGAAAACTGTTAGTGCAGCAACAGCACCTGCTTAAGCTAGGCTTTGGCTAGATCAACACACCTCCACACCAAAACCAGAATCTGCATATGAACTAACGGTCCAAACAGGAGTAAGTTTTTCAAGGTTTGACCAGACTCCTGCCTAGACTGAAGCCATAGTACCGCTATTATTTTAAGATGACCTATGCTAGCACTACTGCCAAAAGAAGCTTTTGTCTCCTGTCCCTGCCCTTTCACCTGTGATGTTTCTATTTGTGTGTTGCCAGTAAGATTATTCTGGAAATATGAATAGTCTAAATGATTTCAAAACACAACCTGAGCTTCTAACACTACATTAAATATCAAGACTAGGATCCTAGTTTATGCCGTCTACTGATAGATCACGCAGTCGGAGTGAGCAGCTTTTGAATTGAACTGAAACGTTTCAGCCCTGCAGCATTTGTACCTCAGACACGAGGATGAAGAGCACAGAAGAAACAGCACAGATCATGCTGTATCACTTTTTATCCAATTTGATTCAACCACTAAAAATAAATGGCTTCTGTAACCAAAAAGAACTACAAAAAAATCATAAGCCAGTGCATTTTAAGGTGCGGAAACTGTTAAGCCATTAATCAGAGAATGTGGACAAAACAACCTAAGCAATGAACTACTAGGTATGTCTACTACCCAACAAAAGGAAATGTTGAGTTACCATTTGAAGAGGCTTACCTTCTTGTTAGTTTTGAAGTTAGTTTACTAAATAGATTAGTGGAACCCCTGGTTCGAGTCTGAGAGAGTGGTGTTGCTTCATGGGACAGACTGGGAGAGGCTGGCGGTCCATTGTAGGTAGCAGTACGTCGCTCTCTGAGCTGGCCATGGAAAGTGCTCCGACTAGCCGTTCCTCTGGGGAAACGAATACGATCAGGTGTGGTTGCACTGCTAATGCTGTGAGTTGAAGCAACAGGAGTTCTTTGATCGGGAATAGTGCTAGAGCAGAAAACAAACAAACAAACAAATGCTAGAACTTCTTTACAGAAGCACTATGGTTCTGCAGGAAACACAAAACACTACATTCTACAGTAAAGCATAAGCAGACACTTTTATATAGGCCAGGGTTGGAAATATCAACATTATTACAGCACTGTATGGAATCAAAACTTGTAAGAAGTTAGGATTAAAAGGCTGCTGAAACAGAAACCTACATAGGCAGAAAAATGCAACAGGAGTATCCTGGAAAAGACCCGATAAACTAGGCATACCACGTTACACTACGAAGACTAATAGAAGAATAGATGAGTAAAGTTTCCTCCCAGGAAAGAGAAGCAATAGGTAATTTTAGTGTCTCTCCCTCCACATTCTCTACATACATCTTTGAAAATCTTGCTAATTTGAAAGTATCCTACACAAAATTATCTACAAGTGAACCACTCCAAGTAGAAGTCCTTCAGGATACACAATTAAAAGTCTCCCATAAACTTTGACAATAGGGAATGTCCAATACTCCTAACACTACGAAAAAAATACGGTTCATTATTGCAGGATTATGTCACAGACAGCCTGACACACCACAAGACAAATGTAAACAGGACTGAAAAAAAAAATGAGGAAACACACATCTTGTGGGTAATATATACTAGAACAATCTAGGACTAAAATTCCACAGCACGAAGTTAAGAAGCAGTGGGTATAAGTTAGTTTCACAACGATTTCAGGTTCTTACATAGGCCTGAAGTTATCTGCGCCATTGTCTATTGGAGGCAACATCATCTTCGTGTGCACAGAGGCTGACATGGACATCGACTTCTGATGTCGCAGCCGAACACTGGAGAAGGATGTAGTACAAACTGAAGCAGGGCTAGCTGCGTAAGCGAACATTTCTGTCAGGCTGTGAGGGGGTTTGGGTTCAGGCAGAGGCAGAAAGAAGAGCATGATGGACCAACAACAAACTACTGCATAGAAAAAAGCAAACTTTTCCTTCTATTAACTGATTTATCAAAGAACACGAACTCTAACAGCCCTCTTCTACGTAAACAGCAGTAACTACCCTACACTCGCCTTAAAAAGTATCCTGATGTAACTCATATTGATCTTAACATTAAAAAATGCATTAAAAAACCCACCAAGTGCATGTTCCAAAAGCCTGATGATTGCTCCATTACTGCAGTGAAATATTTTGTTTTCAGAATGTATCCATGTTAAATCAATGTTAAGTTGGGCAAGCTGTCAAATCTTGATCTACGTCTGATAACAGGGACTTCACAGGCACAATCGAAATCAACAATATCATGATCTTTAAACAGTCCAAAAAAGCCCAAACAAAAAGGCTACTATTAATCAACCTGTACATATAGGAGGCAATGAATAACACTTGGTGTTTTCTGAAGGAAGAAGTATGACTGTTGAAGAGCATCCCTCATTGCTTGGCCACAAACCTTAAATTCTCAAAATGACCATTCAGGCTTTGAAGGAAGGTCTACAGTGCTGTCTTAGCAGAATGGCCAGTAAGCTGCCAGATGTATAATATGTTAAAATAGGAGCATGAAAGCTTTTTCTTTCTTTGGGCCAGAATACTCTTTGCAGACTTCATATTATGTAGTGATGGTAAGGATGGGAGAAAACTGAGAGGCTGCAAGATGCATACAGCCTTTCAGGCTATACCATCGCATATCATTCATCTTTAAAATTTGCTTTAAAGGTCAGACAATTGTAATGGTTTCTTTGCTTTAAAAGTCAGGCAATTGTAATTCAGATATATTGTCTGAGGTTAAAAAAAAAATCAGTCATCATCAGTGACAGTTTCATGACGCTGCATGTTGACTTCAGGTTACTTCATGGTTACATACACTGAAATTCACTTCCTGTTTTTACCTCATTCTAGTATGTCAGACCTTGGAGAGGAGAATGTTAGTCCAGCTACAAGTATTAGCTGACCCACTTCTCAGGCTTAGCTCCCAAACCACTAGTAGAAAACACCTCCCAGCTGAGACATCAGAACCACTGGCTAGAACGGTTAGCAAAATCTACTTTTTGTTTTGTTATGAACTTTTCAGAATCTAGAAAACTTCATCTGAGTCATGCACACATCTCTTTACAACGTTGAATCCAGCAGGATGCACTACAAGCACTGCTACAACGAAGCCTGCCACACAGCCCAGCTTTGACATTACCCCAGGGTATTAAGAAATTGTAAGGAAATGAACATTCATCTCAAAAGCAATACCGCGAAGTCAAGTAATCCCCAACTAATTGGTCACTAGCCTCTCAAGTACTTCTAGCTCCTTTCCTCTCAATTTGCTGCAAAAGATAAAGGAGAAAGAATCTAGCTTTACAACACATTAGACCCAAGTTTTATTTAGTCACCTGCCTCAAAACATGACAGCTAAAGGTATCAATAAGGTACCAGAGCACGTTTTAAAGCACTTCTATCTCTTCCTCTGAAGCTTTGCTAGAAATCAGCTTCCTTGGATTACTAGCCTGGGAACACAGAAACAGTGAGCTAACATTCACCAATTAGTGCCAAGGCTTATTAAAAATCTGAGGCTGTGGTAAGTCATTTGTGTTACAAATGATTTAAAGCAATTGCCTATCATTATAAAGAGTGTTTCAGGAGTCCCCAAGTGTGTTAATTAATGCTCAGACTTTGGAGGAAAGCCAAGAGAGTTATCTCCAGCAGAATGCCTGTGTCAGCCATACAATGTGTTAAGGGCTGTGAGACTTAAAAAACCCTTTGCTTCTACCAGTCTGGAATGGGGTCTTCAAGACTACTTTCTCCAACATCAAGTCCACTAGCTGACTATCAGTTCTTCAAAGTTACCATACTTTCAGAAATAGTGTCTCAGAATTCAATGTGCAAGATAAGCAATATTTTAACACTTTCTCTCCCGAAAGAACAGAGACTTTAAATGTGCGCATCTTGCCTCTTAAAGCAAGTCTCCCAAGTTTTCACTGAGTCACAAGTCAGTATCTGATTGGCTGTGGAAAATCAAAAATCCAATGTGTAACAAATAATCTATGGTAATGACTCTTGCCTTTAACATTTGCCACCAAAAGACATTTCAAAAGCACAGTCAGCATTAACAAAACCTTGGATTTATACAAAGCCCAGGTTCTACTTCAGATCTTGCTTCAGAAAAGAAAAACCGATACAAGTTTCTAAAGTTACCTTCTGCCAAGTTGAGAATACAATAATATTACAGATATTATAGAAACACCTGAAGGCAGGCAGAATTCCTTCTGAAGAGCCAGTCCCATCAACAGTCATGTTTATTTAGCCTGCATAAAAGGTCCCTGCATTTCATGTGATCAGTCAAGCCTTTGCCCAGTTACAGCATGAAAATATATCCAGATGTATATTCTGAATTCTGTGCCAAATCACAGTAATTCTGAAACTGTGCCAAATCAAATGTGCAGTTTAGTGTTGAAGTGTTTCAGACAATGAGAACTTTCAAATTATAGAACAATTAGCAACACATTCTCATTATCTTTTCTTGTTTTAACCCTCTATAAAGAGTAAGGAAAGTAGTAATCTAAAGTATGTGAGAAAAGCTATAAAGATTTTTTTTTTTCCCCTGACAATGAAAATATAAATGCTCAGACATTTCAAATGACCCAAAAAGGGTTAAAGTTTGCAGTATAAGAAAATGATGTTTGGATACCATATTGATAATAAAAGGTAAATTACATAAGGATAACCAATTACAGATATAAAACAGAATTAATAGAGTTGCCAAGTACTACTCAACGTTAACTTTGAGCTTAATGCCCATATGTGACAAATCAGAAAGACAGCAGTTTGCTGAGAAACTCAAAGCTGGGAAAAAACCCCCCACAACTTCAAAGATGGCTCCTTAGGAGTATAAAGTCACTTCTAAATTAAGGGGACATCTGAATCTCAAGCATTCCTAGTAAACAACATCTAACAACTTTAAAAAGCATAGTAAAGAAAATGTAGACAAGATATTGCAAAGATATTAGTTTAAAGATGAACAAAAGTGTTATTAAATCAAGAAATCAAGAAATCAAATCTGATCAAATCTATTTTGGACAGAAATATTCATTTTTCAAAGAGAGTTTGGAAAGAAAAACACTATTAACATATCAAATTAAAGAAAGGATGGTGAGCTTTAATCTAAACAAACTTGGTAACATCAACAAGGACTAATCAATGAGGGCTGAGACAGACACACTAAGAGACAGCACCAAATAGCTGAGCTGTACTTCATAAGACAGTTGACTGCAGGCCCAGTGGCCAGCTAGACTTTTGGCACTCGTCAAACTTACACTTGACTTTTTCCTTTATCACTTTCAGTTTGCGGAAAGCTAGGAGGAAGAGACAGGGTCAAAATCATGTTCTTTATCCCTAGGCTCCTGGAGTCAAACGAGGGACAGACAGACTTTCCATTCAACATCACAACTTCACTACTCTTCCTTATAAACTCCCAAAAGGAAGGGGAAGAATTTTGTGCAAAACATGGCAGGTCTTTTGCCAAATTCAATATGAACAAGAAAAGTATTTTCTTCCCACCCTTTACAATATACCATAAAATTAGGAAAGAGCATAGAAAATTCAGAAGAGTAGGAGAGAGGTACACATTCCTCCAATCTTAAGCATTTTTATTAAGTACTAGCTTTCTGGGCACTCTCCTGGCAACGTCAACTATTTAATTGTTACCAACTTTTGAGACAAGTAAAATTCTGTGAAGAACAGTTGGTTGGAACTTAAAATACCTTAGCCAGCCAGGAAATTTGGTGGTATTCTTCACAAGTGGTACGCTATACCTAACATCTACATTCACTATGACATTCATCTTCTACAGCTCTCCTCAGTCTTTGGTACGTAGGGAAGGATGGCACTAGATGTGGCTATGGTGCTAACACATGAACTGGTTAACTCCAATTCCACTGCATGCTCCCGTCAGGTTTCCATTCAGTAAAGTAAGAGGAAACCTGTTATTTCTCTGACTATTTTCAATCAGAATATGGAGTTATCAGTGCTTCCTTTCTCAAGACAAATTCTGTAAATACTGGGAAGCAATTAGACTACACGAATATCAGTAAGGAACATTATTATTCCAAGACAATGGCCTATCACTGTTTCACCTTCGCTCAGAAAAAATTAACTTTCTCCCTGAGACTCTGTAGGAAAAACCCCCCCAGTATTCCAAACAATCCCAACCAAGTACAGTTTAGAATGAAACTTCAAAAGAGAACAGGCCAAGCAGTAGTCTGAAACTAAACAAGACTCTTCTGCAAGCATATGTTGTTTGGCCACAGCAGTCAACTGATTTAAGATGAAGGTTGTACAAATACGACATGTATTTAACCATAAATTAGGAACTTCCTTTTACATTCTAAGTATAAAGACTGTATGAATTAAGTACAGAAAATAAAAAAACAACATACTTACAGGTGCTCCATAACCAAAGATCTGTACTCACCTTCCGTTAAGAATTACATTACAGTATTACTGATTCTTAAATTAGGCATTACACTTTTTTTGAAACGTGAAGACAAGGGATATACACCACAGGAAGATATTTCATATACCTGTTCTCCTTGCCATTTTGTATCACTGAATGCCTATCAGCAGTGGTTCTTTCACTACAAACGTATGTGTTGCGCCGTGTCATTGCTCCAGGGGCAGTATTATTCTACAATTAAAAAAACACAGGCTTGTTACTCCCCACAAAAGCCTTTTCTGGGGTTAAGTCTACATATAGTTGAAGGCTGTTTTACTTAATGCTATTTCTACACAGATGTAAAACTTATGATAATTAAATAAGTTAATATACAAACACTTTTCAGTATTTTTAAGGAATAATGCAATCAGAAAAAATAATTCTAACAAGTTGTTCTTGTAATTCATGTTGATGGCTCAAAATTAATATCGCTTAAAGTTTTTAATTACCAATGTTCTGAATTACAAATTCTGAGCATGTATAGCATTCATCTACATCTGGATAGCCTATGTCTTTATTTTTTAAATACTTTACCACTCGTAGATTGTAGAATTTTCCTTTAAGTTAAAATTATACCCTTAAACAAAATACAAAAAGCAAAGACTTAAGAAACAAATGTGGTAAAATTCAGTGGGAAGGTAAACATGAACTTTTAAATATTAAAATACTATAAAACACTAGACAAGTTTTATAAACAGGGAAGAATAAGTCAAATTAAAGAGACAAATTGCAGAGAATTTTAGTAAGACATTCTTAAAAATATACATTTAAATACAAGCATAACACATTGAGGACAAGAGAACCAGGGGAACTTAAACTACAGACCTTACTTTAGAGGGGAGAAAAGAAATAGAATTACTTTGCCTCTGTCTTTACAGAGAAAGAGGGTGGAGATATGCCCAAGTTGGCGGTCAATTTTCCAGGAACGACTGAGAAGCTAGGTAATTCACAGATAACAGAATTATAAAATGTTAGATGCAATTACTGTAGGAACAGCATGGTGGTCCAGATAAACATGCACCCCCAGGTTGTAGAGGAAGTAAAAGCCGGCAAGCCTTACATTTTTTCCTCCCCACCCCAAGAACATAACACAGGATACTGTATATGGTTGGAAAGTGGAAAAAATCTTTTAAAATTGTCTTTAAAGAAAAGGATCACGGGGCAAAGCAGGAAGCAAAATAGGCTATGAACTTTAAACACCACTGCTGGGGAAAGTCTTGGAGGAGGCTAGCTTAAGGGAATGACCGGTCAGCACCTGGATAAGCACATGTTGAGTAAGGATGGCCACTAAGACTCAGGCAGGGGACTTCATGCTCAACTAACCTTTTGGAGTTCTTTGAAGAATTACTGCTATGATAGACAAGGGAAATTCAGTGGATTTTTAAAATAGCATTAAGAAAAGGTTTCACATAAATGGTCACAGTAGAGAATCATGGGAAGAAGGATTAAAAAAAAAAAACAAAGGAAGGAAAAACTAGTTCAAGCACAAAAGGAGAGTAGCCAAACCTTTTTTGTTTCCGAACCTGAAATAAAACTGTTAGAGTATTCTCAATAACCTGCAAAAGCTCCTCCAGGGCCTTAAGGCAAAACATTTGCTATATAGGGAGTCTCAAGCAACTCAAGCTCTGAGCTGCAGATTTAATAATGAAGACATCTTGTCTGTTTAAAAGACTGCTGATCTGTTATATATCTTTACATGAATGTACAAGTACAAATGAAAAAGTGAACTGCGCAACCTCTTGGTGCTAAAAAGTACGAGGAGTATCAAAAGTATTTTAGATTAGCAGAACTATTAATTAAATCGTAAGATGCATGCAGTTGTCTCAAGGGTTCTCAAGTATTCTTCACTGGTTGTTCCTTAGGGAAAGGCATGTGCTAAGCTTCAGCAGAAGTCCTCCTGGCCCTTTTCTTGTACTTTATTCCTTACACATCCCTTGTCTTCAAATCTATTTGTTTTTAAAAAACTCATTGATTCTTCCACCTTCCTCTGACATTTGTCGTTACGCGAACTCCCCTCTCTTTACTAAACTTGCTAGGAACAAAACTGTGAACCAAACATGAAGTTTTGTTTATATGTTCTTGAAAGGTCACGCTGTGCAAGACACTTTGTGGAGCCCTCGCAAACCAGTGGTACACAAGTATTGTATATTAACATCCCCATATTGTTTTTTTCTGTGTTCCTGAGCATACTAGAGAATGAAGCACCTAGAGTATCTGGCAGTTTTTCTGTTGGATCATATGCACAATAATGGGTGGCTTCCTTCTTTCCACCTGCTCCTTTAGAACATTAAAAATTTGATTCCCTTGAGAAGACACCGCATAACATTAAAGTGTGCTGTGATGTTGCACATCTAGAAAGACAAGACAGCAATCTCTGCTGGATCAAACTTTAAAGACTGCATTTTCAGGTTTGGGAGTCGACAAGTTTCGTATTCATATCTGAAATCAGAGGACTTTGAAGATGCACTTTCCCAGTTCTTTCTGGAATCCAAAGACAGAAGGATCAGTATACTTTTTTTTCCTGTTTGTCTCAGATTTCAGAGGTCACGAGAGGAGATTCAAGCATTTCAAGCTTTCAGATTTCGGTTTTAGCAAGAATACAGTTTTGGTATTGGGGTCTTTACGCTTTTTACTGTACAACCTTCCATGATCCATCAAGGAAGCTCTTCAGCTATGATTTTTTTGTTCAGCCAATCTACAGACTATTAATGTCTGGACATGACTAAGTTGCACATGTGCACAGCACATGAAGCCTGAAACTGGTGTCAATAGCACCACAGTGCTTGATGGAGTGACAACCTGTAGCATTAGGATTAGCATAAGTTCATCCTTGTGGCACCATTTTGCAGGAGGTGTTGACACTGCAGAAGCACATGTTGAGACTTCCAAGCATACGCACAAGGTCCAATCACAGCACAAAGGATCAATTTGTGGTGTGGAGGAGTCCTCTTTTCCTAGTGAGACTTGTGCCCACTACTTAGGCAGGTGATCTTCACATTAAGAGACGCCAAGGTGAGGACTGAAGAAAAACTTTGACAGAATCAGCTTCTGACTTACAATAATGAACCAATCTATTTACCTAAGAGCACTAGTATGTTTTTGGTCCTAAATTATTTTCCAAATATACCATCTATTCTCCTCTTTCAGTTTTCTTAAAGCAATACTAAGGGCTCTGGGGCAGCCTCATTACAAGTATTGAGGAAAAATTCAAAACTCTGAGTAATAAACAAGGAGTTATTAGTTGCTACTAACTATGCTACCCCTGTAGCAGGTTTTCGTCATTTATTTGGTATTTGCCCAATGAATCTGAAGCTTTTTGATGTGCACTTGTTCTGCTTACAGAACTATTTAGTTTGCAAGAGTTTAAACACTCTGTCAACTTCAGAAGTACAGCTTGGAGCCCTGTACTCCAAGCCCAGACTTAGCTATCTGCTCTACAAGCACAACTCTTATCCTTAAGTGCATGCTTGTAAGCTTTGTCATTTAATAAGAGCAGCACACAACTGGCTAAGTGTCTCCAGTGAGGACCAGTTCGACTACTTTCACTGTATCTGTCAAAGTAATAATTGTTTTTAAACAGAATTTTTTCTGTCGCTTCAGTGATTTTCTCATCATATTTCTGATTTTAGGACTTAAGTGCTCAGGAAGAATGTGAACTCTCTCCACCTCAAACTTTTTTCAACTTCAGGACAATACGGTAACTCCAATATCCTTTTTTTCCCTTCTAGATGCATGCTGATACTGTAAGAAATAAAACTCCCTAATCAGTTCCAGGAGTTGGAAAAAAACTCAGTGCTTTCCTCCATCCTCAACAGTCAGAAAACAAAAGACTAATCTCTAGTGGGCAGAGAAGAAAATAGTTTGCACAGTCTGACACAAAGAGCTATAACAGAGGCAATCTTAAACATTAACTGAGTGACATCACACGTCTGATTCCATGTTCACCATCTTGTACCACTGTTTGTAAAAGACCAGTTGCATGCTAATCAGAAAAGAGAAGTATCCTATGGTTATGAGCTCAAATTTTATTTCAGCTACAGTAGTATGAAATTTGAGATAAAACTACTGGAATAAATCCCTAGGATTTAGGAGTGGTGTAGAACAGCAGATCAAAATACTAAAGATACTAAATGTAAAGTATGTTGTAACTGTGATGCCAAGCTCTTGAATAAGGTACTACACAATACTGAGTGAAGTCCACTGTAGGACAGAACTGATACCATCATCCTACTGTTCTGAGACTCAGCCTCTAAGCACTGTCACGTAACAAGAAACAATTTGAATGGTTTCTGGACTGATCAAAAACCAGGGAAAGGGCAGGGGACCACAAAAATCAGAAAAGCGTCCCTCAAAATCATGAGCTCTTGTTCACATTCATGAATAACAGCTGCTACGGTAGAAGGCGTGTCTTTCCAAGAAATTTCTGGCAGAAAGCCGCCAGTCAAGTCACTATCAGCCACTGAGGCAACTGACAATACAGAGGCAATAAAATAAAACAAGTCTTATTTTACTACTTTTGCCTCAGATTATCAAAAAGTTGCGAGCTTAGAAAGTTCTGTTCTCTATGATGCTGAGTATTATGAACAAATATGACAGCTTTGTGAGATACTCCATTGCAAGTTGAATAAAGGATGTGAAGTCACTTCTAAAAAGTAGTAAGTTTTTCAGTACAAAATCTCAAAGTTTCAGAAATTAAATGTTACAAGACTCAAGAGTTATTATGTGAAAATAGATTTCCAACTTTGCCTCAGAGGGAGGCATCACAGAGCACACAAGTTAAAGTCAAATCCAAAAAAGAATTTTCTTTCTTTGGGCACACTGCCTACTGCTCGACCCTGTAAATTCACTAGTTATGCACCTTAGTGTGCTTTCTTATTGTTGTTGAGGTTTTGGGGCAGGCAGGGGAAGCACACAAGGACAAAAGCCAGGCACACTGCTTTTAAATACAGGTTGAAATCCACCTGTGAACAGTTTTTAGAGCTACATTCCTTTGATAATCTTAATACACATAAGTAGGACTTGGGAATAGTCTGAGAACAAAGATTAGGTGGCTCCTTATACACATGAAACTATAAACCAGGATAATAAAAATAGATTTCATTCTTCTGTATAGAGGCCACAGAGTACTAGTTGGTGATATCAGGAAACTCATACGAAATGTCAGGAGGCAGTCTTTGGGTTCAGTTTCTTTTCTTTTTTTTTTTTAAATTATTTTTTAATACCCAAATTATACCTGTTCACTAACAGTTACTAGTGCTAATTATTAATACCTACGACCTACTTCAGGAATATTAAGAGGTAACTTCAGTAGCTGATTGATGCAGGGGAAAAAAGGCAACAGTACATTTAGTCTTGATGAATGAGAAGTAAAATCAGCACCATCGATAAATCGCAGGTTTAACACTTTTTCACTCCTCGAAAACATTTCATGGTTTTGATAAATAAGCGTTTTACTTACACTAGGAACAGCTGAACTTTTCTTACGTTCAGGAATATCAGCTTTATTGGGATTACTGGCATTTCCAAGCATTGGACTAGCTGGTGCAATTCCTCTTCCTGCAACAGCACTACTGCTGGATTTTCTGGACTGAATTCCTTCCTCTTTGAGGTCACTGTCTGTAGTACTAGTCTGGCTTCTTTTGGGATATGCCACTACTGAGGGGATGGATGGTCCAGCTTAAAAAACAGACAACAGAAACAGGAAAAGGAAGTTTTCTTCAGTAGTTACTTTTCACTACAATGGAAACGTATACACACAAGAGAATCAAAATAATTAACACTGAGAATCAGAGTTGCAAAAAGATAATTATTTATATTATTGAAATATGCATGTTTCAGAAGACAATAAAATACTGTGAGTAACAAAACACTTTCTAAATGTTTCTTTTCTTTTTTTTCCTCTTTAGGGGTGGAAGGGACAGGAGGGACGCAATGACACCACACGGACACCACACCCTGAAGCAAGGCCCCCCATTTTGTAATAAAATCTGATAGATTTGATATTCAAGTTAACTCTAGTAAGGCTTTCCCTTGTATCATAATCCAAAGATATGTAACTCTCTTCTGTTTACCTTGCTAAGGACAGGAGGGCTATAATAACAGACAATTATCTGAATTCATTAGGTGAAGGTATTACTTGATTTCTGTGAAAGAATTATGAATTTAATGGAGTCTTCTAGTGTTTGAGTACTGGCACTCATTTCGCTTGGCCAGAGAAAAGCCTTCAGAGTCATTTTAAAGACACTTAACAAGTAACTGACTCATTAAAATCAGAGGATCCTTCCTTAGCTCAAAGCTGGCACACGCTGTTCAAGCCAATTTCTGACAAAATCAGGCTCCTGAGACAGGTACCTGGTGACACAACCCTGGATCACCAGCGGCACTAATGGCCAGCAGACTGCACTTCTGGAAAAGCCCAGAAGCAGTGGTGGTTTGCCGCCAGCCTTCCCAGGGGGTGCCTAGAACACCTGTGAGTGAGGCAGCTCCTTTCACAGTTCCAAGCTCCCCCTTGCTTTCATTGGTTCCTGGACACTGGCAAAAGCCTGTGGGGATGTCAGGATTGTGGTTTTTTGCTGTCTCAATTACACGTCCTCAGAAGAGGATAAATCAAGATACACCAACTTCGTAGTTAGTGTATTAACAACAATTAATCAAAAAGTGTATGTATACACACAAAAATGCATATACACATAAAAACCACCTATATAAAAAAATCTATTAAAAAGCATCACAAAACACAATACATCCCAGGAGACTTCCCAAGGAAAGCAACCTCTGAGTGAACTTGAGGTATTTAAAAGTAGACCTGAACGGAGACTCCTTTTATGAGTTAGTGTCTGGGCAGGGAGATGTTGAAGATACTTAGAAAACCCTAAGCTACTATCCTGCATGCTCATTAAGCAGAAGAGTTCTAAGTTTGTCTGAGTCACTGATCTTCAGAAATTTAATTCCTCCAGGACAATCAAGTGGCACTAACCTCAGGAAACAAGAAATATTGGCAAACTGACATTTCTTCAAGTTTTAGACACAAGCTGACCTACTAGTGCCAAAAGAAAACAAAAGCTCAACAGGCATACAAGGGCATGGGGGAGGAGTGCTGTGCTTTTCACAAAAAAAGGGGGTTGCAACATTCTCTTCAATCTGTGTTAACAAGACTTTGCCAGCACAGTCAGGAATGCAAGGGACGATGACACAAGGCAGAATAAGAGAATTAAGTTGGTGAATTCAGCATTCCTCTAGAAGCTGCTTTTGAAGGCTTTATAACAAAACCAGTTAAAAAACCCCACATTAGTTATTCAATTCAGAAACCTATTTAACCACCATGCTGTGAGCTACACTGTTGTCATCTTCCTTACCTTTGGGGGATAGGGACAAATTCAGAAACCGAACTGAAATGGAAGTCACTATATTCTGCAACACTGAAAATGAGAATTGCTCACCGTGATCACTGTACCGCCGCTGTTTCTGGCTAGAAGATATGCTTCTCTGAACTTTGTGATGAGGAGATTGTCCAGTGCTATTATTAAGATCACTACTTGGCCTAACTTTGGCAAGTGAAAGATTGCTGCTGGAGCTTGAATCACTTGCATCCAACTACAATACAAATGAGAGTATTAAAACAAGGAGTTCAGACAAAACGAATTAAACATCTGTCACATTATGGGAGCAGTAACAGTGAGGCAGAAGGAAAACGGCTCTGGTACACAGGAAATTTTGTGACAGCAAAGAAGCTGCTTAGAGACCCGAACTTCTCTCAGATTCTTGTGCAACTGTCTTAGGACAAGCTCAGTGGAATCTTCAGCTCCTCAAAGGACAATCAGAAAAAGAAAATCCACCTCTGCTTTTAGTACACCCCTCTCAGAGTTCTCTAAGATTTTAACAGGAAGTTACAGGATACATTTAGTAGAAGCCACCACACCAACTCCTCCAGCAGAGGAATCAAGAGCAGCTTACTGATGCGGAGCCCTCTCAGCATCATATGGAAAGGTAATCTACAAGGCAAGAACTTTCTCAGGTCAATTGTCCTGCTCCTTGATTCTCCTAAAATATTTACAGCTGCCACATTCATGATTAAGCTCCTAGACTAGATAGGACCATAACTAGCATACAAAGTCCTTCAGAGGAATAACTGCTGAGCAAGCAATGCAGTTTTGGGGAGCCTAAAGGCAAGAGTTTTCTGACTCACATCAGGGTGACAACAAACAGGACCATTTGGACAGCTGACACTGATGATTAGAATAATGCGATTTTCAGCGTAATGAACTTCTGTGAAGGAATGAAATGCCTATAGTTAACTGACTTAATTTTTGCTTCTAACTGCTAAGGACACTTTCTGGTTTCTTTGCATTTGTAAGAACAGTACTTACCTCTGACGATTTTCTTCCTAGCAGTAAGTATGTAGCTGTGATTTCATCATACTTCATTTTACTAAGGGATTCTTGAATTTCCTCTTGAGAATATCCCATTCCTACCATAATATCTAAAAGCAAACACACACTCTGTAAGTAACACAAACATTCTGATGTTCAGGCTGGCTGAGTGTTTTAAGTTCAAGAGAAAGAACAGAACATTAAGAATTATACAAAACAATTAAGTGTGAGAACATAAGCCTGACAAAATATCGATATTAGAAGATTACTTTTTCCAAATAGCAAACAGATAAGAGTGGTAGAGGAAATAAATAAAAAAACTAAACACACCCACATCGTGCAAATAGTAGCACACTCTGAAAAACACTCAATTACCTATTCTTTTCTGGTCCGAGATGTCTAGTTCTGGTTCAACAAAAGGTTTAAGTTCATCCTCCTCATGCCCTGCATTGATCCACCTGTCCTTCATAATTTGCTATAAAAGAAAGGGTCTTGTTAGTAAGATACACCTGACAGCAAAGGAAACGAGCTGTTGCAAGAACTCGTCCCTCCCTCCATCGAACAAACACTAAGGCCTTTTCTCATTTTTCTTTTCCAGAACAGGCCTCAACAACTGCTCAGTTTTCTTTTGCTCCAGTGAGGAGAATCAACTATGCACATCGAGCCAAGCTGCTTCCCAATCAGCTGTATTCTAGCATATAGCTGAAAGCTAAAAACCCGTTACACAGATCAGGAGCAGTGTGACAACTCCGAGAAGTCTAGTAGGTCCAGGTTCAACTATGAAAGTCCATGAAAGCCAGTATTGTTTTGGCCATTCTCCTCCATGATGGTACAAAATGCAGGCAAAAGGCAACCACACCATAACCTAGCAGTCAATACTTCCAGTTCGTATTTGAAAACGTGGAGAATGTCCTGGTGGATCATCTGTTAATGCAGGAATTCAGAAGGTAACCATGAGGAAAACTTGTATGACATATGCAGTGCAGTCTCATGTTGACTTTGAAAGTAACTGTGGAGTCAGGTGTTTTGTGACCTCAGCAAACAAAATATTAAAAAAAAAAGTCATACACTTTACTCAACAACCTTCTGCTCCTGAACCCACTCCAAATAAACTATTCAGGAATGGTATGACAATAGTAAGTTACAGCTCAAAAAATACAGTTTGCAAAATATAACATCTAGCTTTATGATGCACCTTATTTGTGCCATTACCTCCAGAGTGCCTCTTTTTGTTGGGTTTAGCACCAGGAAACGTTTGAGGAGGTTTTCACAGTCTGTGGACATGTAGAAAGGAATCCTGTATTTTCCCCTTAGGACTCTTTCTCTAAGTTCCTTGGTAACAGAAGAACAACAGAGAGTAAGTTGTAAGCAGCAAATCAGTTAAAACATTAGGTAAAAATGTCCAACGTTCTACAAAAACACACCTTTAAGTTCTGTCCATCGAAAGGAAGAGATCCACTCACAAGGGTATAAAGAATAACACCTAAACTCCAAACATCAACTTCAGGTCCATCATATTTTTTCCCTTGAAAGAGCTCTGGAGCAGCATATGGTGGGCTGCCACAAAAGGTGTCCAGTTTATTTCCAACTGTAAACTCGTTACTAAAACCGAAGTCAGCTATTTTAATGTTCATATCTGCATCTAGCAATAGATTTTCGGCCTGGAAGAGAAAGAATGGTTGATAAGATGAACTTGAAATACTAGATTTAAAACGCTATTGTCGGTTTTACTCATTCTTGAAAGGCAAAAAGGTGAAATATCTACTAACGTTTCCTTCCTTGGAAGGTCTTTACGTATGCTTCAGTCTATCATTCACATATCCCCTTTATTTCAAAAAAATCTCTGTACAGCAGCTTCAGACTGCGGGAGCAGTTATGCTACCTGAAAACTATATTATTTCCATCTGTTTTCTCCATAAAAATGCATCCTGAGCTACTTTAACTTACATTTTTCATCTGCTAAGATGAAAACAACATACAGTCTCACTAGCTGTACTTTATGTGGCATTCTTGTAAAAGTTTGGTAATATATGTAACATTAAAACTTTTTTGAATTGTTTTTTGTTGTTGTTGTTCAGGTTTTGGTTTGTTTTTCTTTAAGTTATAAAGCTATGATATGTTGAACAAGTTATATGGCAACACTATTAACATAAAAGGCACAGTTTAAAGAAGGGATACACCATTTCATGCCAAGCTACAAAGCAGCTTCAGTTTCATGATCACGATTGGTAATGCATTCTGTTCAAGACCAAAACTTGTCATACCTCCAAACTAGCTTCTTTTTTCCTTGAAAAAGACTTCTCAGCTAACACTGACCCTGCATCAGATTTGAATCTGACCACAGGGTGAGAGGCTATCTTTCATCAGCCATTAAATTTCTATATTTAAAACCCTTACAAATCATCATCTTTTTATTCGAAACAGTTCTATACTGCAAGCGTTCCTAAAAACTTGCTATAACACATGCAAAAAAAAAAAATCAGAAAGCTTAATATACACTACGTTTTATCAACACGATAAAGATCACACCCACAAGCACAGAAGTTGACACACTTCATACCCCCTTTTTTTTTTTTACTCACCTTGAGATCTCTATGAACAATATGCTTTTGATGGCAATACTGCACTGCAGATACTATCTGGATAGAAAACAAGCCCAATTATATAAGTGACATCTCAAAGAAACAGGAGTTCTTATCAAAAACTTCAACATGTATTACTAAATTTGACATGTCCTTATCCACTCAGAGCTACATAACCAACTACTACAGTGACCAGCATATTTGGGGGGAAGCTGCTAAATAACTTAGGTGTTTGTTATTTGATCTATTTGGTTTCTACTATACTTGAAAGAGGATTTTGTTTTTCCTGTGTGGCTAATTATAGATCAGTAGAAGCAATGACTTTCAGAAAGGTTAATGAAGTATTTCCATTCCAATACTGTATATAGCTATAAAAGCTTTCCCTCCAGACTGAAGTTTTCCAGTCCCTCTCCAAAGGTGATTTTTCATGCTGCAGCATGCAGAGAAAAGGGTAAGAAAGCAGCTTAGTTACTAGAGAAACTACTGGGAAACAGCTTGTTTGTCAAAACTTATGCAGTGAGAAGCAACTGTGCATCTGGCAGCAGTCTGCTGTCTAAATGCATACGGTTTATTGCATTTTGTATACTGTGCAAGAGTAGCAAGCTCAATGGAAAAAACTCTCTATGTCTCTCAAGTGTAATGGAGTAATTTCTTCCATGATAATTTCCAAATATCGTTAAGTTTTTCATGCTTTATATAGAAAACTACATGAGCTATTTACACAGTACAGTGTCCTAGCACATTGCTTTAGATTGATAAGCATCGCTGCAGAACTCTACATGTATGGAAAAGTTGGATAAAGTCTCACTGTTACATGATCGCAAATGCGATCAAAGGCATTTTGTTGTCATGCATGCATGGCCTGAACTGAGGCAAACATGACTTCGCAAAGTAAGTGGAACTGCACATAAAAATAATTTACTGTAAGAACTACGCTTAAATAAATGCATTTCCATTTGTCATTCAAGATTAAGATTTCCAACATAGAAAGATGAGGTATCATTACTGTTACAAAAAGTAACTCGTGACCAGACCACCCAGCTTAGTGTTAGGGATCCTCCTGTACTGGTAAGAAGCAAAGGTTCTCCCCCCAGTATTCAGAGCAGGTGAAAGTAAGGTACTAGGTAGGTCAACGAACTGACCTACCAGTCAATTTTACATTTGAAACTTAAGCTCCAATGTTATGATCTTTGTGACCCTGTATTATTGAATCATGCATGTGCAAAATGCCACCTGAGAAACCAAGCAGCCTATGAAGATTTGTAGTATTTCCACTCCCTACACTTCCATTCAATTTTTGCTTGTTCCTTTATGTATCAGCTCCCTCTTTCAGACTCCAAGTTCAGCGTGCTGCAGTTACTGAGACTGCCAAAGTTCTCCCACGCCACCACTTGTACCATCCTTTTAGTTTTCCTTCCTTTTTTCTCTACTACCACTACTTTAGTGCCAGTCACAAGCTCACTCTGCAGGTGCTCCCAAGGCTGGCAGCATGACAAACACCTCGAGCTTTGTTTGGGACTGCAGAGGCACAGCACTATACCCTTCGCTCCTAAACTGCTTTTATTCTGACTGAGAGCGGAAGGTCTAGCAGATGATCAATCAGTAGTCTCCTTTGGAGATGCTTTTCAACTACTCTGCATTGCAACAGGATAGCACAGAGACTGCAGAAATGGGTCCAATCTAAATGGAAGAGAAATAATGCAATGTGTATGACATCAATAATCGAAGAACAGCAGTCAAAACTGAATGAAAAATAGTGCAAAGCTTGGCTGTGCTGGATTGAGTCCCTTGTCTACCACTTTCTATCACTGTTCACGCTGACAGCCCCCTCACCCCCAACCTACTCCAGTGAGAGACATCTGCTGACACTTGGCAGGTGGGGAGAAGAGGGGAAGAAACAGCAGACTTTTTTGCTAGAGGTAACAATTACAGCATTGAAATACATTTCTTGGGAGGGATTTCAGAAATCTGTGTAATCATAGGTTTTAAAGAACAAGCTAGAACAAGTTATCTCAAGGCAGACAAACCATTCTTCATAAGGATTAAATGACAAAAGGCTAGACAAATGACCTCTCAAGGTTCTTTCCATACTGCTCCAAGTATTTAGTTTCTTAACTGGAACATATGAGTAAGATGTATTTTGTGCTTTTTTTTTTTTATTTTCCAAGATCTGTCCTAACATCTATGAGAATTAAAAATTCTAAACTGCTTCTGCAGGGAAACAGTGGGAAGACTGAAGGAGGCTGGATCTAATTGGCTGCAGTAAAGGAAGAAAAGGAAGTAAACCACATGGATTTTGGGAGACCCCCTGCCCTGAGGCAGATTTTTCTATGGAAAAAGGATTGTAAGATTGAAC